TGTGACAACTTATCAAGCATTTAACTGCTGAGATGATACAGAGCACACAGGGAGAAAGAAAAAAACATAAGGTTTGGGTGAATGACTTTGAGTTCAAAGCAGCACTGCAGGTCTTCTCCATGAAAGAGCAAAGTAAAGAGCCACCAATCTTACAATAAAATTACACACACGCCACCTGGATGACATGTCTGTGGCCAGGGGTGCAACAGGTTTGCAGCTTCACACATCCACTGTCACGCTCTCATGCAAAGGGAGCTGAGGAACATGCTGGTGTACCTCAATTACAGCAAAAAATAGGTTTGGCAAATGTCTGTGGCCTCACTGGGGACAGTAAGAGGGAATAATGGATGTATAAATGCTGGTGGGCTAGTTTTTGAGGGGCAGAGGAGGATCATGCCACACCAGGCACTGTCCTCTTCATAATATACTCATCCTTCAAGTATCATAGAATCCTGGAATGGTTTGGGTTGAAAGGGACCTTGAAGGCCATCCAGTTCCACCCCCTGCCATGGGCATGGATACCTTCCACTTGATCAGATTGCTCCAAGTCCCATCCAACCTGGCCTTGGACACTTCCAGGGATGGGGCAGTCACAGCTGCTCTGGGCAACCTGTGCCAGGGTCTCACCACCCTCACAAGGAAAAACTTCTTCCTCATATCCAACCTAACCCTCAGCTCTCTCAGTATGAAGCCATTCCACCACGTCCTGTCACTCCATGCCCTTGTCCAGAGTCCCTCTCCAGTTCTCTTGTAGCCCCTTTGGGTACTTGGACGAGGCTCTAAGGTCTTCGTGAAGCCTTCTCCTCTCCACGCTGAATAATCCCAATTCTCTCAGGTCTTCCTCACAGGAGACATATTCAATCCCTCTAATCATATTTGTGGCCTGCTCTGGACTCAGCCCACCATGTCCAATATGGTTGTACATGACGATTTATGGTTGGACTCAATGGTCTTAAAGGTCTTTTCCAACCTAAAGGATTCCATGATTCTAAATAGGCACTTTATCACCTCACAATGGAAACCTGTGGGACACCACAAAGTTCTGATCAAATGTGGGAAGTTTGTCCATTGATCACCAGAATTTCGCCCTCTGTTTCCAACAAAGCCCATTGGCACAAAGGGAAGAGTAATTCCTTGGCACAGCCATTGCAAGAACACAGCTCAGAAACCCATCACCACCTTTTATCCGTATCCTTGGCCATAAGTCATTTCTGTTAGCAGTGCCCTGCTGTAGATGTTTATAGGAAAACATAAAAGACTTGGTGAGAAAGGAGAAAACAAATTACTCTGTGGAGAACCTCGTGACTCGGCTAAAATACTGTCAGTTGTTTATCAGCTGTCAGCAGAACCTGCACACTAAAATCCCTGTCAGCCTCAGAGTCAGGGGGATGGAGAGAAGGGGCAGGGCCTCTTCTCATGCAAAGATATTTTAACACCTCTCTGAGAGCAAGAATGTGTCTGCTAGAGAACGGCACTTCTGATTTTGATGCTGTTCCAAGGGGGCAGGGCCTACGCTGGGTTGACTTAGCAGAGGTGTTGGGGCTAACGCTGTAATTTAGGGTGCTGGCGGTCCCTGCGACGCACCAACACGGTGAGGTCAGCACCACTTCGTTTAGAGAGGTTTTCTGCAACAACAGCACGACTTCACAGAGATTCTGTTTTATGGTTTAGCCAAAGGGGGTTTTTGTTAGGTGAAGGCGAACACAAGAACATTAAAAAATAATAAAAAAAAAATTCTTCCTTTTCTACTTCCCCCCTCCCCCAACGAAAACCACATGTAAATCATCAGGGTAGACAATGGTCATTAAGTATTATTGTATAGGACAATATCTGCGAGCACTTCGTGCTGGAAGACAAGCAGGATCCCACTGCCAATGTTTTACACACAAAAACCCCCCTTGCACATTACAGCACTTGGCTAAAATTAGTCTGCTTCTCGGAGAGCCTCGTGCTAGGCCCAAGAAGGGGGTGTTTTTAACTGCTGATGCCTGAATAAGGCACGCGACGCCTTCGCCTCTAGAAAGGCAATGAGTGCTTATTTTTGGCTACGCCGCCCAGCCAAGGGGTTGCTTCCAGCCCCTTGTTTTCACCTGTGTCCAGGCTACAGGCTGAGGATGCTCGGTTGTTCAGCAAATGCTAACCCAGCGTCCTTATTTTCTAAATTCACATTCGTCAATTAAAAATAAACCGCCTATTTTGATGGGTGAATTTACATAAACCAGTTGCTAAAGCATCCCAACACTAAAGGGTAGGAGTTCAGCCCGGAAGATTTGCATGCAGCATCCTCAGACGGAGGCAGGCGCTTTCGATTTCCATCGAGAGCCTTGCTGCGCTGGAACTCTAATGGGCTTAGAACAGTAAATTTTGAAGAAACTGATTGCTGCCCCCGTAGCTAGTAAATGCCTGCCTGGACCCAGTGGCATTTGAAAAAAGTGTTTTATCATAAAATTATCCCAGCAGAGTCCATTCTGCAAGATAACATCATCATCATCATCATCAT